ATAACCACTTTTAGACTTTTGGTGTACTTCCTGTAAGCCACTCCCCCAGATTATTGATACAAAACTAGGAATGCAAGATGTCCCCAATACATTCATATAACATATTAGGAACACATCGCAAAAATAGTCTAGCATCTTTTTCCTTCCTTTCATTCTTCTCTCCTTTTCCTCCCTCCCTTCTCCATCTTTCCTCCTTCCTTGCTTGCTTCCTTGCCTTTTCTCATCCCTCCTTTCCCTCCCTCCCTCCCTCCCTCCCTCCCTCCCTCCCTTCCTTCCTTCCTTCCTTCCTTCCTTCCTTCCTTCCTTCCTTCCTTCCTTCCTTCCTTCCTTCCTTCCTTCCTTCCTTCCTTCCTTCCTTCCTTCCTTTCTTCCTTCCTTCCTCCTTCCTTTTCTGCTTTCTTGTTGGAAATTGAACTCAAGGCCCTGTGGGTACCCTCTTATCACTGAGCTGTATCCCACAACTCAAAAGATATCAGCTACAATGTTTTGATGTAGACCCTCTTGGCCTTGTATCTACACATATATTTATTTAAAAAGCTGCATGAAGGGATTGGGAAGGTGGCTCAGTGGTAGAGCTCTTGCCTTGCATGCCTGAGGCCCTGGGTTTGATTCCTCAGCACCACATAAGCAAATAGGAAAAAAAGCCAGAAGTGGCGCTGTAGCTCAAGTGGTAGAGCCTTGAGCTGAAGAGCTGAGGGACAGCGCCCAGGCCCAGAGTTCAGGCCCCAGGACTGGACCCCTCCCCCAAAAAACCCCTCCCCCCCCAAAACAAAAACAAACAAAAATAAAAAAAAAGCTGCATGAAGGATGCAGAGAAGGGAAAAGATTTTATATATTTATTACTAAACATTTTTATCAGGAACACATCCTTTTTTTTTTTTTTTGGACAGTCGTGGGGCTTGAACCTTTGGCCTGGGCACTGCCCCTCAGCTCTTCAGCTCAAGGCTAGCACTCTACCACTTGAACCACAGCACCAGCTGCCAACTTTTTCTGCTTATGTGGTGCTGAGGAATCAAACCTATGGCAAGGCAAGCACTCTACCACTGAGCCACCTTCCCAGCCCCAGGAACACATTCTTATGTCACAAAAATATTTCAGAAACATTTTTAAGTGAGAGCATCAGTTCCATTTGAGTAGATGTACCATACTTTATGCAATTTTTGTTGTTAGTGGTCATGCATGGCATTCTTAATTTCATCTTTAAAAATACTGAAATGATGGGGCTGGGAAGGTGGCTTAGTGGTAGACTGCTTGCCTAGCATGCATGAAGCCCTGGGTTCAATTCTTCACTACCACATAAACAAAAAAAGCAGGAAGTGAGTAACGCTGTGGCTCAAGTGGTAGAGTGCTAGCCTTGAGAAGAAGAAGAAAAAGAAAAGCTCAGGGACAGTGCCCAGGCCCTGAGTTCAAGCCCGATTGGAAAAAACAAAACAAAACTGAAATGAGCCTATTTTTTCTTTTTTTTTCCAGTGAATTTCTGGTCACATAGATTTATGCTTATTTCTGACCACTTGTATGAATGTAGCATAGGAAAGATGATCTTATGTTTCTAATACTGCTAATGTTCTTTCAGGTGTATGTTTGAACACAAATTCTTTGCTTTAATATTCTAGCCTAAATAGACACTTAAGACAATAAGGATACAAATAAAGACATTCATCACTCACTAAATTCCTATAAAAATATAAATCATGGCAATCACTTTTTATTTGTGCCAGTCCTGTAGCTTAAACTCAGGGCCTGGGCACTGTCCCTGAGCTTTTTCCATTCAAGGCTATTGCTCTATCACTTGAGCCACAGCTCCACTGTTGGCTTGTTTGTTGGTTAATTGGAGATAAGGGTCTCATAGACTTTCCTGCCTGGGCTGGCTTTGAACCATGGTCCGCAGATCTCAGTCCCCTGAGTAATTAGGATTACAGGTGTGAACCACCAGTGCCCGGTGGCAATCACTTTTCTCCTTGCTTAGGACCCATGTTTCCACTAGAAACTTTCGGACCTTAGTCTTGTAATACTTACCACACGTATTGCTATGAAGATCAGAGGCTCCCAGACCTTTCAGTTATCAATCTGTCACAAGTGCACTATGGTATCTTGTGACACGATGATCCCCGAGATGTCTGACGTCTCAGCATCCTTCACCCAAAAGTTCTGTAGCACCCATAACCTTTAAAGACTTTATAGAGAATTATATTTGACAATATAACAGCAGCAACAATAACAACAATAACAAAACAATCATACCCTAACAAAACAACCCAAACCTGAAAAAATTAGAGACAAAAAAACTTCTGGTCTAATTCTACTACCATTAAGTAACAAGTCTTTTTGTTTTATGGTTTTTTTTTTTTTAATTCAGTCATGAGAGTACATGTGATTTGTGGCCTTGAGTCTTTAAACTTGCTATCTTGGGCATTTCCCAGGTTTCTAAGTAGTTTTTCTAATGATTATTTTAGTGAGGCACAAAATTAACCCCTATGGTTATATTTTCCCCCTTTAATACTAATTTGCCTGAATGTACAGAAAACCTCAAGTATGGGCAAAAGATGTGGCGTTTGTGCACACTGACTTGCACAAAGCTGGCTGATTTATAGTCAGCTTTATAATCCTGGGGCCAGTCTTGGGCCTCAACCAGGAAGTGTCTAGCTCATCATAAGACTAGCGAGTTTCACTTAGAGGTTTTGTTTTTGTTTTTGACCAATATATTAAGATTAGCTCCTGCTTTAGTCAGGACTGTGGAAAAGAAAGTCCCAGAGACTAGCTGGGACAAATCTTTCACCTCCAGAAAGCCTGGCTTATTGTTTGGAAGGGACTTTTTTTTTTCACTCTCTGACTTTATTTTTCCAGGTGGTTGCAAATAACAAATAGGAAAGCATTTGGCAATGTTGCTAAAGGAACAATATACAAAGGGATGGTATGGAGAATATGATTGTGAAGAGTGTGTTTTGTTTCCAGGACACACACATCTGACATTGAGATATTAATGTGGTCTGGATAGGAGTGGAGGTGGGGGTCAAGGCCAGGGGAGGAAGGCGCTTCCAGAGGCTCAGACTTCATAGCAAAGCTGTTTACATGGCTGTAGCCATGAGGTCAGGACCACCTCCTCGAACTCCCAGCACATGCGCAGAGGATATAACAATAGTGTAAGCAGGGTGCTCCAAGGCCAGAAGACTCAGAGGAAGTGGAAGCTTTACAGAGCTCCTCCCTGTGGACTGCATTTGCTGAACCAATTTCTTTTTTGCGGTGTGTGTGTGGGGGGGGAGTGGTTATGCCTTTTAGACCTTGCCAACAAAGATCAATTGTGGAGCTCAGGCAAAGATGGCAGGTAAGGGAAATGTTGGGCGGGTGGCAAGCTAGCAGATACTCATTCATTTAGTGAGCAGACATTTCCTCAGTGGGCACAAGTTGGGTATACAGGGACAGGGAGAGGCATATTTGTTACAACTGGTGTTATACACAGCTTGTTACTTAAGAGTTATGTACATATAAAAGCTCTGGGGGGTTATGAGAACATTGCTGCCAGCCAGTGAGGAAACTAGATCTCAAGAAATGTATGCCAGCTTGGATAGAGTCCCAATCTAAGTCTTTTAATTTCCACCAATACACTTTTATGCATATAAATAGCATAGCACATATGCTTTTGGCACCAACTTTTTATTTTCATCTTGTAGTCCCTCAGGAAAGCTGCCCACATGACAATTTCCATCTTATGGGGTCATATTTTGTGCAAGTGTTACCCTGAGCCCTACAGTCCAAGATTTGTGGAACAAACCCAGTCCCCTTCTGTCTCCTCTACCTTGATGAGTTGACAGGTATAGTGTTTTAAAACAATCAGCAAAAAATAATTTGCACTGCTGAGTCCTCCTTAGTTTTTTTTTTCCATTGGTCAGTTGCCCATATTAATGGAAATCCAAAGCAGAACACAATTTAATCTCCTGACACTGGAATGGATCCAGCTGTTTTCCAGCTTTGGGCTTCCACTTTTGCCCTTGTCTTTGTACTTACATACATTTTTACAGAGCTGAAACCACTGTTTTTTGTTTTTTTGGGGGGGATTATTTTTTGGTCTCTGTGGCCCTAGTTATTGGCACCTACTTTTCCAAGTAACATTGACACACATCTGTTCAAATCAGTTGATGCTCCCATTATGACCAATTCATTTGGCAGGATAAACAAGTTTCCATGCCAACTGGAAGCAGGACGCATGAATATGGGGGGAGCAGTAGGAAGAGAGAGATGGTGGGAGAGGAGTTTTCTGACTTACAGACTATAAAATATTTTCTAATCACATTATAAAAGGGTGGATAATATTACACTTATTGATTATATTTTTACCCCCCCCCTTAGGGTGGGACACAGGTGGTTTTCAATACCTACTAAGTTCAAGCTGTATATAAATTACAGCCTTTGAAAGATGATTGCATTTTCTTGAAGCAGGATTGTTCTCTGCCCAGATTCTCCTGACAAGAACATTGCTGTAGTGTTCCTTTGTTGGGAAAAAAAGTCGGTAGTGCTAACTTATGCTACTAGATGTCTTCAAGATTGTTCCTGTGATCATTCTTTTTAAAAAATAGAAGTATGTTGAATCCTAGTATATCAATCCAAGCAACCTGTACATATCGTCGTCTCACTTATGGAAATGTCAAAGTTTGGATTGAGAACTAGGCTCAGGTTTTCCTAGTTTTAAGGGCCATGCTTGTCTAATAAACTTTCTACAGTGCCACGTGTACACAGCATTCTTGCTAACAAGTACCATGTGTTGGGACGGAATGTAAAGGTGCCTCCTTGAAGGTGGTAACTGTGGACTAATTTATCAGCCAACTATAAATTGATTCACTTTATACAAGTCTCCTCCACATTAGGATGCACATTTAGTAATGCTAGGGGAGAAAAAAAACAATTTCAAAGAATTCCTTAGGGAGTTGTTAAAGAGAATTTATAGTCTGGAACGAATTGCCATTTTCTTAATTGACACAGAAATGTTTGGCTAAAATATTGCTTTATTCACATTTTTTTTTGTCCTTGGAGGAAAATGTAGGCATACTGCAACTTCAATTGTGTAAACAAAGGGGCCAAGGGGATATTTTAAGTCCGAAAAGGGGGGCGGGCAGGGCATGGAACAATCAAGGGGTCCGTGTGGATGAGCTCAATGTCAGCACCTCTCCGGAGCCCTGCGCAAGAGGGTCACTTCGAGTCTGGAAGGCAAAGCTCCCATGTCTGAATCACTTGGTTTCCAGCACTCAGCCCCTCAGCATCCCCAATGGCTAGAGTCTCACCTGGGTCTAGCAGGTGCCCGGATGGCACAGGCAGGGAGGGGGAGTGTCCTCCTGGAAGGGGGGGTCTCCAGCGCTGGGTGGCACTCTCTCCTACAGGCTGCAGGGACAACCCCTGCAAAGCCAAGGAAGGGGAGAAGGGACACTGGTGAGGGAGTGGCCCAAGGGGAGTTTCAGGGTGCAACTCCATCCTCACCACAGAAGAATGCAGCTGTAGGAACCTGTTCTCCATTCCCTACTGGGGACTGGGGGCCAGAGAGACCTTGCAGGATCTGGCAGGCCAGGACTCCAGCATCCAGGTCAGGCATAGGCCATTGGAGTGAAGACCCCTCTGGGAGCCTGAGGGTGTTCCAGGGTTGGAAGGAAGGGGCCCTTCTAGGCCTTGCTCAAGGGGAAAGAAACATGGGACAGCTGACTTTTCAGAGGCTAAAACCTGACTCCATGCCCAAGACTACCAGGAATCCCGGGGCTCCCTGTATGGTGTGGGGGGGGATATGCCCAGCACCCCCAGGAAGACCCGGGTTCCTGGCACCTCATACAGAATGTGTGTGCATGCCTCCGTGCGAGCGTGTGTGTGTGTGTGTGTGTAAGCATGAGGGAGCTCACAGTGCTTTTTGCCTTTTCAGATGATAAACAGCGTGCTTAATGATTACACATCTCCTTTTGTGTTTACCTGCCCAGACTCCAGATTAAAAAAAAATTCCTAAAACAATTGTCACAGGAAGAGGAAGACGTGTGTGTGTGTGTGTGTGTGTGTGTGTGTGTGTGTGTGTGTGTGAGAGAGAGAGAGAGAGGGAAGGGTGTGTGTGTGTGAGAGAGAGAGAGAGAGAGAGAGAGAGGGAAGGAGGGAGAGGGGGAGAGGGAGGGAGGGAGGAGGGGGTTGGCTCGAGCAGAAAATATGAGCAGTACTAAAATCACAGCACCCAGAGTTTCTGAGTCACAAAAGGGTCCCTGAAATCACAACTCTGGTTCTGGTGCTACCATTTTCTTAGGCGTTGTGAGGCCAACTCGGGCAGTAGGGCCTCTCGGGGTGATAAAGCTGCCCTTGGGACTGAGTCTTCCGGGTGGAATGCTGGGATGATTTGAGAAGGGACAAAACAAACCACACTAGAAATACAGAGCCTTGTTCCACAGTCCCCTCCTGTGAGTTCTCAGTTAGCTTGTACCCTGCCACACCCTGTGCGGCTGCTAATCGTTCTGGGTGCTTGAGTGCAGTAGTTGAGGAGCGCAGGAGTGGGAGCCTGGGCAAGTTAAGGGCTCATTAATGTTTCCTGAACTCCAAAGTTCTTTGCACTGCTTAGCAGTCCCCCCTTACTCCTTTTCTGAGCCCCTGTTTTGTAGGTGGGGACTGGAGATGCGATTGCTTTATTGTTGGCTGGTGGGGCTGGTTAGGGCTTTTGTCAGTTTATTCACTTTCACCTGGGCAGAAAAAGGAGGTTCTAAAGCGAAGCTTCTGCCACGGTCCAGTCACATATTCAAAGGGGGTGGGGGCGAGGCTGAGGGTGTGTGTGGGGGGCGTAGGTGTCCAGGTGGGAACCAAAATTGTTCCTTGGCAGGCTCGGGTGCTGCAGGAGGTGGATGGCGACTTACCTGGTGGCTTGGTCCCTGGGGATGTCCCCAGTCTTACCCTGGCAGCGGCAACATTACTGCAGAGTGTGGATAGCTGACCGCAGTACTGTTCCCGCTGCTAGAGCACGGCTGGGGCGAGCGGGAGGGCGGGGAGGGGCAGGCTATGGCTTCACTGCCCTCAAGGTAAGTGTCGTCAAGTGTCGTCGAGTCCACTCTCACTCCTACCCCCGCCCTATCTCACCCCATGCCAGAAAAGCGCCGCAGCAGCCCCCCCCCCGCCCACTTTACTAAGGCTGGGGCACAAACAAAGAAAAGACAAGGAAGCCCCCACCGACCTACCTGCTACAGAGCTGGCTTTGTGGAGAGGTGCCGGGGTCAGCGGATCCCCAACTTCGACCTTCCTCACGAAGGAATATAGCAGCGCTTCACGTTTTGAACCGTTTCAAGGTACTCCAAAACATGAATTGCTGCTGCATTCCCTCTGAGTTAACGAACGGGGGTTGCCCTAGGGGGACCTGTAAGAGAAGAAAAGTGTGGGTGACTGGAAGGATGCTCCATTCCCGCCCCACCCAATGGCAAATTGATGTACTTTTTTTTTTTAATTTCCAGGTTGTATGGCTGGAGTGAAGGGTGTGGCTGTTGATCTCTCCTCTCTCCCCCTATGACGACGTGTTGGGATAGTGACAAAGTGACAACCGGCCAAGCGCTGTGTGATGGGAACACAAAGTGGGAGAAGATCTTAGTTCTAAAGTAGATGAAAAATATCATGAAATACACGATCACTCTGGGCAGTTTCAAAACATTGGTGACACTTCTTCCCAAAGCATTTATTGTTCCCATTAAAAGATAACTTTTTATTCATTGGAAATAACTGCAAATGACTTAAAGGGAGATGTACAAAACTTCTCTTGGTAGCTTCAGCTGGTCTAATGTATACTATACAATAGACATCTTGCTTGAAGTTTTTTTTTTAAGGGCCAAGAATGAGAGAGAATGTGTTTGATAAATGAAATACTCAAGATGTTTCTGTATGCTGCTGCTTCAAACTTGTTTATAAAGAATTTTTATACCTATCAGTGTCATATATCAAAACACATATAAAAAATTTAAGTTCTTAATGTCTAATCATTCCTTCCTGTCTCAAGCAGCTCCAAGGAAACTGTTTCAGGTCCTGAAATGGCCGGCACCCTGCAAACTCCTTAATGATTAACTCATTAGACACCACTTTTTCTTTTTAAGATGGACTGCTTAACAATAAGTTATATGCATTCCTGTCCTTTTGTTTAAACAAAATATTTAAGCATAAGAAAAAAAATTCTTAAACTCTAATCACAAAGCTAGAGTTTAAAACAAAAAAAAATACAGTGGCGTTTAAAGTTGTATTTCCATGAAAGTAAATCATTCAATTAATGCTTCCAGTTCTGTTTAGTGTTTTGGTTCAATTTAAAATTATGCCAGTTTTCCAAAATGAGTACAATGAATATTAAGTGTTCTATTTGTTAATTAAGCAGCATATGTAGTGAGATTTAAGTACAAGCTTCATACAGATACAATAAAAAGATCCAGTTTCTAAGAAATACACTGTTAAAGGTCGTGATAAATAAAACCATTAATAAAAACCCCACTCACTAAATTAGGACAATTAAATGTGTCTAAATTCCATCGGGTTTTGGGTATGATATTGACAAACAACTTTCACAGCGACCTTTTGAGATCAGTGGAGAAAAAAACCGTCGTTGGTTGCCCTTAAAGAGAGAGAGAAAAAATGTTTAGCAAATGTACAATTATACTTCAGAAGTTCACAAACTTTCTCCCAATTAAATATTTTTGGTTCCACCCAAACATGCGAGTCACATATTAGATGTTAAAATCACTCCTCATTTTACATCGCCTTAATTGACTACTTAGGCAAACAAAAGTTCACTTCAGATGTCAGTGTCCACGGCGGGAGCCGTTCTAGATTGCTTTGTCAACCAATTCATCGGATTCAAATTTATTTCTATCTTTCCATTAACTTCTTCCTTGTTTCCCAGGGACAGTACAACGACCTCCACCTGTAAAAAGCCACGCGCGCTCCCCTTGTTTATGTATTTCCCCTTAGACAGAAGTTTACTTACGAAAGGCGAGTATGAAAAGGCACAGTGTCACTTCTGGAAAACACAAAGAATCCATACTTAGGGGTCGCCATCGCCCCACCCCTTTCGGAACTGCACCGCATTTGGCCAAGTGATTTAAGAGCTCACGAATATCTCTCTTCCTCAGTTTCTATTTTCCAACGTTTTCTTTTTAATTTGGCAGATGCCTGTACCCCAACTTCCCCCCTCCCCGCTTGCCCCTCCCCCGCCCAACACAATATAAATCTTCCCTGGGCGCTTTCCCAATGTCAAGTTCCTTACAGGCAAAACAAAGCAACCTTGAAAATTGTAATTCAAGAGAAACAATGTTAGATCAATCTTACATTTGTATCCAAGACATATCTCATGGCTTACAAAGGAAAGTCACCAGAAGTCCCCTTCCACTGTGTCAAAACTAGTGGCTCCCCGACCCGCCCAGGGTGACAAGTCGGCCACCGCCCTACCTTTTCCTACTTTTTTATCCCCTTCTCAGTCCCGTTTTCTTGGCCATACTTAAGTTCTTAACATTTACTTTTTCAAGGTTTAGTTCGTCCCCACCCTGATGGCCCAAAGTGCTTTTCAAACCCAATGCCCACATTTGTTTCTGCTGGCCGTAACCAACGCTACAACTGGGGAAGATGCCAGGCAACAAGTCCCTTAAAAAAAATACACAAGAAAGTCGTCTGTCACCTCTCGCTCCACTCGAAAATGGCGCCGAAATCGAAGAACTTCTTAAATTTCATTGTAAGCTTTTTGCAAAGGTTTCTGGGATTTTCCTGCGAAGCGGCTCCGCAGCGTCGGGAAGCGAGCAAGCCACGGGGGGGTGGGGGGGAGGACAAGGAAGGAAAAGGTGGGTGGGGTGGCGGAAAAGACACGTCGCCAGACAGACAGCGAGAGGGAGGGCGGAGGGCTGGGCGGGGAGCAAGGCCTGGGATTTGGGAGAACCGTGAGATCGCTGGGTGCCGGGTGTCTGCTGTGGAGCCATCGGGCCGAAGAGCCGGGAGCCGGGGTCGCCGCACGGTGGAGCGGCGCGCGATCGCGCCCGCAGCTGCAGTCGTAGCTCAGAGAGGCATGGTGGAGTCGGAGCGGAGCCGAGCGAGCCAGGGGGTTGGAGCGCGCACACCGGGAGGCGAGCTGGAGCTGCGTGCTGAGAGCCACCGGGAGCGGCCCTAGTAAAAGCCCGCCGGGGAGGGCGTGGTCAGGCGCTCCTGACCACGCCCCCAGCTCTCCCGCTCCTCTGGGGGGGAGCGGGGGCGGAAAAGGGTGCGGGGGGGGGGGGAGAAGCGAGGGAGCGGTAGAGGAGGGAGGGGGACGGAATGCGGGCGTTCTCCTGCACAACCTTGGCCCGTAGCCTGGAAGGGCCGAGAAGGGTACACGGCTCCTGTAATAGCCAACTACACAAGCAAAGATAGAAGGAGGGGTGGTGGGATTTCAGGGATTTAAAAATAGAAAAAAATGAAAAATACGAAAACTAGGCGCCCTTAAAGACTCACCCAAGCAGACCCTGCGCTAAGCTTAGGGTCCCAGGTGACGTCGTTTGAGTTGCCCCAAGAGGCACAAGGTGGCTAAACCAACCCCCCCGCCCTAGGCGCTAGAATTCCCCGGTGGTGTTGGAAATGAGTTGAGACAGGACCCAGTCTGCAGGCGTGCAGTGGAGTCTCCCCGCAACTTGTTAGGTAGAGAATTCCGGGGGATCAGATGAGTCCTATCGCTCTTGGTCTGTCCACTTTTAGGGGCACAGCGTGAACGGACGGAGGAACTGTTCACACGTGTACAGTCCAAAAAGGGAAGTTTCAGACTTGTTTTAAGACGGAAGCCGGGAGCCGGAGCAAAGCTACTCCTTCCCAGGCTACCAAGTTGTTAGGACGATTTCATTTCGTACGTGTGAAAATGTTAGAAATCATAAGTAGGTCCGGTTGTCAGGATACTAAAAAGACGCCTGCCAAAGTGTGAAGGTGAAATGTCCCTCTGTCTACGATTTTCAGATCATACAGTTAACACACACACACACCTTCACAGAGAAAACACACTGCAGTGTATATACTACAGTGGTATTTTTTTTGGAGTGTGTGTAAACACACATTCATTGTGTAGACTTTGGATTTTCTAGTGTCTTTGCAAAAGTGTCATAATAAAAACCATCGGAAAGAAATACCGTATAAAATACCGCCTGAACACTAAGAAAAAAAGAAGTTGGCTTCTTTCTTTTCACCCCCGCCCCCAACCCCTGTCCCGGTTGGGACAAATTTTCCAGGCAGCACGTCTCAAACTCACAAGCAATGTGGACGGGAAGAGCAATGGGCAGCAATGGCCTGAAGCCAGCACAGCCGGGGGTTGGGGGAGACACAGGAACCTCGGGATAGGTGGGCGCTGCTGAGGTGCTGCCTACCGTATTCACCCAAGGAAGGGAGTTGGGGGTGCCATCCAGCTAGAGCTCCTAGTGACCCAGCCCGCACTCTCACTTCCTTTGGCCTGCACTGATGACTAGCAAAGGACACTTGCAGATCCCAGAAGCCGAAGGGCGTGCTTGGAGCTGTGGCTGCGGCCAGCCCGAGATTGCATACCGAAGACCGAGGGAAGCAGTGTCCGGGCTTAGGGAAAAAAAAAAAAAAAAACCAAACCTAAAACAACCCGACCCAAACGCAGAGAAAACAGCAAGAGTGAAACAGGCAAGCACGCACACTAGAAATCAACACACAAAAATCAAGTCACGAGTTCTGCAGATCGGGGCACTCGTTTCGGGCTACTGAATTCTCTGGCACGTATTTTACTAGGATATTTCTGTAGAGTAGATTTTTTTTTTGTTGTTGTTTTAAAAAGCTTAAATTGAATTTCTTAGCAAGGTTGATGTCAAAGTCTGAAGGCATTGCCAACACCGCGCGGCCTTTCGGCTTGGGTGTCTTCGGCGATTTCTTTTTTTCTCCCCCCCCCCCGGGGTGCGGGTAGGGTGGGGGGGGAGCAGACAGTACAGTCTTTCAGGTTGTGAGCGAAAGTTATTTTGAAAACATAATCCAATAGGTTTTATAAATCACACTTTTCTTTTTCAGGTAAACGCTTTAAATGGCTGATAGGCGTACGGTTTTGGTGGGTGTTAAAAAGTATTAACCACGAACCACAATTTCTCTATTAATATCTTTAAATTTTTCTTGGACAGGGCTGAAAGTTTACCCGGATGTCAGACGTGACTGAACAAGCTTCTAAACCCTCAGATAGATCATTTATAAAGTTCCGATGTCCTTGAGGGTGAAAGGCTTTCTTTGGGCTTTTAAGGCTCACTTTGGTGGGTAA